AGTCGGTGGTCGAAACCATGCTCACCGGTCTGTTCCAGAACACCCAGCTTTGCGTTCTTGAAAAGGCCGATCAGCATGTCTTCGGCCGCCAAGTGGAGGATGTCGATATCCTCGTCCATCACGAGGTCGGGGCGCTCTGCGCGTGATGGTCTTAAACTCTGTCTTCGAGATGACGCGGGAGCCTCTTGCTGCACGCGGTAGCACAGCTCTTCCACACGACCGCCTGTCATGGGGCGACGTTCTCGGACGAGTGCTTCTCATGGCCCTCGCCACGCAGCGCCAGCTCGCAGCGCCGAGCTGAAGTCATGCCGCAGGCGTCTGCCGAATCTATAACTATTATCGGCACATGCCGATACGAGCTGTGCGGCTCGACTACCGTTAAGAAACTTTTGGTTTGTACAAATATGCAACTAGACAACGTATTTGTATGGCATGATGTACTTCCAATCGTCTATCCAAAACGCACTTAACAGCATGGCGGATACCTCAACCCGAACGGTTCCACCAATCAAACGCAAGCCGCGACAAGAGAGGTTGGGAAGCATGGTGCGCAAGTCGACGCCAGCCACGACCGCGTCCTTGGACGAGCTTGCAGCGCGCTGGGCGCCGACGGTACCCTACTCGCCTGCTTCTTCCTGCCTCATGCTTTGCTGTGTAGGCCAAGGACTCCACGTACGACGCCGCCATGGTGGCCGGAATCTACGCCACGCACCTCACGCAGGCCGACGCCGCGAGCGCGCGGGCCACGCTCGACACGACGGGGTACCTCGAGCGGTACCTCTGGCCGCACTTTAGCCAGAAGACGGTGGCCGATAAGGCGCTGCTCTTGTCGATCGCGATCACGTCCAACGAGAAGGAAGGCCAGAACTGGGCGAGCGTAGACGGCGCTACGTTCGGGCTCTTTGTCGACGCGCTGCTTCGTTTAAAGATGGAAGCCGACGACCTCTCGCTTCGCGAACACACGTATATTCTCCGCTTCCTCATGTTTGGCATCCGGCAGCTCGAGACGAGCCATGTGGCACGGGCGATGCTCAAGTACACGTCGCTGCCTGTCTGGGCGCACCTCTCGGAGGTCCAGCGCTCGCTTGCGTTTGCGGACCACCCGAAGCTCAAGCGCCATTGGCAAAACCGCGTCCAGGCTACGGCGCCGAGCAGCCCGGCGGCGAAGAAGCGCAAGACGACGGTCGTAGACTTGGAAGCGGACTTCTACGCGTCCTTGATGGACGACTGCAAAGAATGCTTGCGCTCGACCGACGACTCGGCCGTCGAGTACCTTGTGCACAGCTTGAACCTCTTTGTGGACCTTCTGAGCCAGCTCCCGACGCGGCGCTTCCTCCGGACGCTGCTCCTCCACCGCCACTTGCTCCTCGCGTGCCGACAAAGCCATTGGGTGACGCAGCACGAGCTGCTCGCCAAGCAAGCCGAGCTGCTCCATTTTTACGCGCATTTTCCCATCGACGACCAGACCGGTACGCTTGGTTTGCTGATTCTATCAATGTATCAACCATTTTGTGCTGATAGGCCATGCGTGGACGACGGTCGAGCACAAGAACGAGCTTGCGGCGCGGGCGCATGCGCTCCAGCTCGCAGCGTTTGAGCAGTCGCCGGCGCTGCACCCGCTCTCGTTGTTGCCCGTGGCGCAGCTGGGCGACCGCACGATTGTGCGGCAGCAGCTGGCATCGATCCCACACGACGTGCTGCGCCCGTTTTGCCTGGCGCGGGGGCTCGTGCACGAGGCGGATGGCGACGACGTCGACCTCGTCGAGTGCTTTGTCGACTTTTTCACGCAGTTCACGCCGCCGTCGCTGCAGTCGCTGCCCGTGTACCCGACCGAAACGGACCTTTGGGCGTCCGACCTCGCGTCTCTCGACGGGATCCTCCCGACGCGCAAGCTCAACTTGCAGTTTCTGAGTGTGACCGACTACCTCCTGCGCTGCTACGAGCTGTACCGGCTCGAGGCCGCGTCCGCGATCGCTCTCGACCTCGAACGCGTCATTGACGCTATGGGACCGACGCTGACGCCGGGCCACACGACCATGTTTCGCAGTCGCCACCCGATGGGCCTTGGCGTCGAGCAGGTCCGCGTCGTCCGCGTCGGCAAGCCCGCGATCGGCGAGACGCACCCGGCGCAGGTCGTCGCGCACATCAACTTGGACCTTGGCGGGCAAGCGCCCGACGTGATTGCTGCGTGGGACAGCCTTCACCCGAACGACGTCGTCTTCCTCGCTGGCGTCCAGGCTTTGGAGGACGCGCCGATGGACGAGACTGGGCCTCTGAACGCCGCCGAGCGCCTCGGGATCCACGTCGTCCGCGGCGCCCAGGTGCTCGAAGTGCTCGATTCCGTCAACAAGACGGTCGGCGAACTCCTTGAGAACGGCAAGCGCTACGAAGCCAAGGGCGCGCGCCGCACACTGCGCGTGGCGCTCGATGGCGCACAGTATGCCGCCGACCTCGCGGCGGGTGGCACAGAGATCTACGCCCGTCTCAACGTGCTCGTGCGCCGTGTCGCAACAAAGAACCACTTTCACTCGGTCCTCACGACCATGCAGGACGTGCTCCAGACGCAGCGGGTGCAGCATGCGCTTCCGTCCTGGCTCAACGACGTCTTTCTCGGTTATGGCGACCCGTCGGCCGCCCACTACCGCCAGTACGTCTCTCAATCAACAACGCCAGCGCTCATGCCATGCCGTTCTCCTTAGGTTGCGTGCGAATAGCGACGAGGCGACCCACTTGTACGACACCTTTGTCGACGGCCACCACGCACTTGCATCGTTTGCCGACCCCGTCTCGCTACTTGACGAAGGCAGCGGCAAGCCTGTTGCCCCCGAAGCGGCGACGTCGCCCTTCCGCCTCACGGCGACTGAGAATGGCGTCGTGCTCACGTGCGCCACCAAGTCGGACGACATGCCGGCGGCACAGGGGCTTCGGTACACGCCAGCGCAGGTCGACGCGATTTGCAGCGGTGTCCACGACGGCTTGACGCTGGTGACGGGCGCGCCGGGGACAGGCAAGACGGACGTGGCGGCGCAGATCATTGCCAATCTGTACCGGAGCCTGAACGCGCAGCGTATTGTGGTCGTGGCACCGACGCCCGCGGCTGTCGCCGACCTCTGCGCCAAGCTGCTTGCCCTCGACGTTGTGGATCCGGGGCACATGGCGAGTCTGAGTGCGACGACTGTGGGCGACCACAACTTGTCGGTGGCGGGGCGCGTCACGTTCCTTCTCTTGCGCCGCGAGGCGCTCTTGGCGCAAGTCGAGACGCTGGCGTCGGCGCTCAACCTCGCGCACCTCGGCGCGTCGCACTCGTGCGCGCAAGCCCAGTACTTTTACGAATCCCACGTGCGGCCCCAGCTCGCGCACCTCGAAGCCAACGAGGCGCTTCGCGCCTTTTGCCATGCGACTACGGCCGCGTCGATGCAAACGTACCTCGACGGCTTCTTTGGCCAGCTCGAGACTCTCGGCGCCCTCGAGATCCTCCGCACGCCCAAGCAGCGCGGCGACTACGTGCTCGTCAAGCACGCGCGGGTCGTGCTGATGACGGCGGCCGACGCGGCCAACGCCCGCGCGCGGCTTCTCGCGATGGGCTTTCAGTACGCGACCTTGGTCATCGACGCGGCCGCGCAGGTGCCCGAGGTCGACGCGCTCGCGCCCCTCGTGCTCCAGAAGGACGCGGCCAAACTGCGCCGCGTGATCCTCTTGGGCGACGACAAGGCGCTGCCGCCCGCGCTCCAGAACGCCCCGCTGGCGGCGTTTTCGCATTTGAACCAGAGTCTGCTGCAGCGTCTCGTGCGCCTCGGGGCGCCGGTCGTGCATCTCGACCGCCAAGGCCGCACGCGTCCGTCGCTCGCGCGTCTCTACGCGTCGCAATACCCCGGCCTCACCGACTTGGGTTGCATGGCGGCGAACCCGCGCTTCCAGCGCGCGAACCCAGGGTTTGCGCTGCCCGCGCAGTTTATTGACGCCCCGCGCGCGACGGCCGTGAACGGCGAGAACCGGGTCGAGGCCATGTGGATGCTCCAGCTCTTCCAGTACCTGCGTCGCGTCGGGGTTCCCGCGTCTGAGATTGCTGTGCTCACGGCCACCGAGGCGCAGAAGAGCCTCCTGCTCACCATGTTCAAGCCCCACGAGGCGACGCTCGGGCGCCCCGCCCTCGTGGCCACGATCGACGAGAGCGTCGGGGCGCACAGCCCGTACGTGCTGCTCTCGCTCGTGCACACGACGTCGGTCGGGGCGCTGCGCGATGTTCGCCGCCTTATCGCCGCCGTCTCCCGCGCGGCCCTCGGCCTCTACATTGTCGGCAAGAAGGCGCTCTTTGAGGCTTGCGTGGACCTCACGCCGGTGCTCGGGCCGCTCTATGCTCGCCCGACGCAGCTCCAGTTGCTCCCGAACGAGAGCGTTGCGACGTGCAGCCGGCTCGAGAGCGACGAGGCAGCGCCGACGACGGTCCAGAACGCCCACGAGCTCCACGAAGCGCTGGCGGCCATGTCGCTTTCAGACTAATCACCTGGTTGATTGAATCACAGACTCTATTCCTGCGTACATGTTGCCACGTTGCTTATGCAAGGAGCTCCAAGACACGGTCCGGCGGACGCCCGATGACCGCGCGGGCGCCGTGCACAAAGATAGGCCGCTCGATGAGGCTCGGCGTCGCGACCATGGCATCGAGGAGGCGTAGGCGGTCGGCGATCGGGTCGAGCTTGTCGAGCCCTTGGTCGCGAAAGGCTGCGTCGCCCGTGCGCATCATGAGCGTCGGCGGTGGCGTTGCCTCGGTCGAGGCGAGTTTGCGCAGGAGGCTTTCGAGGTCGGCGCGGGTCCATGCGACCTGGAGGTACTCGACGACGTCGAGGTGGAGGCCGTGCTTGGCCGTGTACTCGGCGAGGAGGCCATGGGCCCCGCGGGACTTGGAGCAGCTCGGGTTGTGGAGGAGCGTCGTCGCCATGATCTTGCTGCTGCGACGCATAACACGTGGTGTTACAAAATCTAACGCATTATAACACGAGTCGTCGCGGCTCACTAAGTTCGCGTGGCGTATACTGAAACACTGTGATAGGGGCGTTGAAGCTCGGTTAAGTGCGCCCACTTCTTTTGCCAGCTCACGCGATAAACGCTTTGCAACCGTTGAGACGACAACGACGACGGGATGGACCGCTTGATGCTCGACAAGTTCAAGAACGCGCTGGACGACGCGTATGTGGGCGTGGCCATGGCAGCGAGGGCTCATGGCACATGGGCGTAGGAAAGGCGCGGTGAAGGCGCGCATGGGCTCCGAGACGGAGCGCAAGATCGAAGAAGCGCTCTCGAACAAGAACTGGGGCGCGTCGAGCACGCTCTTGAACGAGCTCGCGCAATTGACCTACGAATAGTACGCCATCATGGCATGCGTGGAGGCTCATGGCTCTTTTGTGCAGCGAATCGTACAACCTCATCATGAAGAAGGTCTGGGAAGGCATGGACGTCGAGGCGCGGCAATGGCGCACGGTCTTCAAGGCGCTCACGCTGCTCGACCATCTGATCAAGAACGGCACGGAGCGCGTCGTCGAGAACGCCAGAGATCACATGTTCAAGCTGCGAACGCTCTCGGATTTCAACTATTACGACGGCTCGGCCGACAAAGGCGCCGGCGGTACGCACTTCGTCCGTGTCTTTGTCCCAAACGCTGACCCTTGCGTCTAGTGCGGGAAAAGGTCAAGCAAGTGCTCGAGATGCTCAACGACAACGACCGCATTCGCGACGAGCGAGAAAAGGCCAAGCGCCTCCGCGACAAGTACACGGGTGTCGGCTCCAGCGGCAACATTGGCGGCGGCGGCGGCTACGCGAGCAACTCGGGCGGTTATGGCAACAGTGGTGGCAGTGGCTACGGCAACTCGGGTGGCGGTGGCTACGGCAACTCGGGCGGCAGCGGCTACGGCAACTCGGGCGGCAGTGGCTACGGCAATTCGGGCGGCAGCGGCGGCGGCTATGGCAACAGTGGCAGTGGCGGCTACGGCAACAGCGGCACCGGTGGTTACGGCAACACGGACGAGCGACGAACGAACAGCCGCGACAAGTACGACCAAGGTGGCTATGACAACCCGCGTCCGAGCAGCCGCACGGGCAGCCGCGATAAGTACGAGTACGTGGCTATATCTTGTATCGATCGTATACCTGCCGTCCCTGACTTGCTGGTGACAATAGATCGCGCCACGATGAAGACGAGTCGGAAGAGGAGGTAGGACCATGCGCCTCGGCTTGACCGCGTACAATCCTGTGTCGTCGTAGGTCCGGCCCAAGGCGCGTCGGTCGTCCAAGAAGAAGGCGGCCAAGGAAGCGGTGCGACACGCGATGTGATGGCACACTCTAAATGCTTGACATTGTAGGAACCCGTGGCCGACGACGAGCCCGTGCGCGCGCCGTCGGCGGCGCCCTCGCTCTTGGACCAAGACTTCTTTTCGACGCCGGCGCCGGCCGTGACTGTGCACCCCGTGGCGGACCCGTTTGCGCTGCCGGCGGCCCCCGCTGCGCCGGCCTTTGGCAATGCGTTTGGTGGTGCGCCCACGGGCTTTGGTCAGATGCCAGCGGCCGCCGGCTTCCCGCCGCAGCAGCCCGCGATGAACCAGTTTCCAGGCGGCTTCCAGAACTTGCCGGCCGCGCCGATCATGGGCGGCATGGCCGCCGGCCAATTCGGCTCGCGTCCCAGCATGACACAGCCATACGGTAGCAACCCGCCGGGTCAGCAGCCGTACGGAAGTAACCCGCAGGGCCAGCAGCCGATCTACGGCAGCAACAACACCATGGGCCAGTACGGCCAGCCCGCCGGTCAGTTTGGCGCGCCGCAACAGCAACAACAGCAGCAGCAGCAACCGCCGGCGATGAAGAAGGAAGAGCCGCCGCGCTCGAACGATGCGTGGGGCGCGGGCTCCAACCTCTTTGACTTGAGCAACCTCAGCAAGAGCAGCGCGACGACGACAAGCGCGGCCATGCCGGCCGCCAAGCAGCCGCCGGCGTTTGGCGCTCAGAACAGCTTCAACGGCCTCGACACACTCGCCGGTATGCCTAACAAGGGCCCTACCCCGATGCCGGCCATGGGCGGGATGGGCCAGACGCAAATGCGCCCGGCCATGGGCGGCATGAATCCAATGGGCGGCCAGCCGCAGTACGGCCAACCGCAGTACGGCCAACCGCAGTACGGTCAGCCGCAACAGCAGTATGGCCAGCCTCAATACGGTCAGCCGCAGCCCCCGTATGGGCAGGCGCAATACGGCCAGCCTCAGTACGGCCAGCAGCAGCAACAGCAGCAGCAGTATGGCCAGCAGCAGTATGGCGGCTTCCGCCCGTTCTAAGTATTCCGACCGACCGAAGGTTGACGACTCGAAAGATATGACCTTGCTATATGTACTACGTCGTTGTTCGTTCGAGGAAGAGGCTACACGGCTATCTCTATATGGGGGGTTTGTATAGATAGATGGTAGGGAAGGCGGGCTACAGGCCGTACGCGGGGCGGCGGTGCTGCTTGGCCTTCTCTATCGCATCGTCGTCGTCGTCGGTCATGCGGATGTCGCCGTCGTCATCTTCGTCGTCGGTCAAGTGCGCGCTCTTGCGCTTCCGCAGGCCTTCCTTGAAGCTGTACTCGTCATCTTGCCGCACGCAGCGGTTGACCTCGAGGCCATCGAGGAAGACGACATGGCATCGCTTCATGTCGTCGTCGCCCAGCAGGTTCTTCCTTCGGTGCTTGAGGTGCGAGCGCAGGCGGTCCTTGGGCTGCGGCGACGTCGGCGGCGTCGTCGGCGGCGCAAAGGCCGTCGGCTTGCGCAGGAGCTCGGGTACGAGGTACACGGTGTCGCGCGTCATCAACTCTGTCGGGCGACTCTTGGCGACTGGTGGTCGCCTGCCAAAGATCGTTTTTGGAACGTTAAGAATGCGTTTTCAGAGGTTTTGGATCGAATTCTATCCACTTCCAGAGGTATTCACGCCCACACTGCGAGAACAAGACGCCGGAAGAACCAGGCGCCAGGTGCTGACGCGCAGCTGGCTACTGCACCCAGTCAGCTGTAGTTGGTCGCGTCGTCAACCAAGACACGAGCGACGGTTTTGCGAGCGGTGGTGCTGCCACGTAAGCGCTTTTTTCGAAGGGTTAGGGAGACCGCCACAGAAAGGTTGACACGCTCGTGTGTCTCTTCAAAGAAGAAGGAGGCTGACTACAGGGGAACAGGCTAGAGGTCGCAGAATGAGCGATATTTCGGAGAAGGCTGCAAGTCCCGAGACTGCAGTGGTCCACCTTGATAGTTCTAACGCGACGATGGACTGGATGGTGCTAGTGTAAGAAGAGTTTCGATGGCCATGCGGACGGGATGGTAAGGGGAACTGTGGAGGGGAAGATGCATTGAGACATCGTCGCGAGTGCGTAGACTCGTCGACGACGCTTAAATAAGCGACGAGCCGTGTAGGACGTATCGTCGCTAGCCGTTCATAAGGGAGCGCATCGCACGCGTCGCATGCTCGAGCTCCGCGTCGACATCAATCGCTGCTGGCGTCGTGGGCACGTGGGTGGTCAGCTGGTCAAAGCAGCTTCGCAGCGACTCCATCCTGGCGTCGTTGCCAACGATCATCACTTGCATGTCGTGGAGCTACGATACGCGCGCCATTATGTGTTCACGCAAAGCTAGCGCAGTGTACCTTGGCGACGTTTCGCTGCGAGTGTGCGGTGATGCCAAAGCAGAGGTCGGGTGCCATCTAGATCCGTCATGAGCATGCGACGAATCGTTGGCTGCCTACGTGAAAGTCGACGGGCAACCCGAGGGTCGAGGCGAGGGCGTCGCGCATCTCGTGCGGTCCCATGCCATCGGTGTCGTAGCCATAGGTGCGGAGGAGGATCGCGGCCGTCGACGCCTTCCAGAGCGCCACGTATGCTGTGTGCTGGGCCATTGCCAGTCGCAAAATGAGCAGCTTCGATATTTCGACGGTTTCAATCCGCTCGCTGATTGGTCCATATCCATAGTCATCGGTGATTGGTGAGTTCACTTCTCTACGGCCGGTGATTGGTCCAAATTCGCGTTTGGCGATCTTGCGGCGCCCCAGCCAAAGGACACAGACGTCAGGTCTCTAGGTATGAATTGGTGAGATTGGGTGCGAATTACGATGCGAATTCGTAGCTTGCCGCCTCTACTCCTTGAACAACCGCGACCGGAAGCCTTGCGTTGAATGGTGTGTAGAAGCGTCTTGTTCTCTGTCTGGTGGACTGCCTCGTCCCAGAAACGGTCGACGTTAAACATGGCGCTGGACGACACATGCGATAGTATAACGCGTACAATGCTAAAAGATAGTCCTCTGAAGCATTGTTGTGTGCTAGCGATTTAAAGCCCGCCCAAAGGCCGGCAGCGCAAGTGGTCCTTCGACTTTGCACCTTCTCGCAGTCGGTTACGGGCTCGATTTATCCGGACGTCCGCGACTCTATCCGGAACCCAGATCGTCGTTGACGATGGACGAGGTCGTGGAGAACCAGCGCTGGTATGCGCTCAGCGTACGTGGCAAGCTCCTGGCGACGACGAGCATGACGGTGCTGCTAGGGCTGGTCCGACAAGCTTCTGGAGAAGGACCCGCCCGCGTGGTCCGACGCGGCGCGACGCGTGGCGAAGGCCAAGCCGCCGCTGCCGCACGCCGAGTGGCACTTCTACCGCAGCGACGAGTACGACGAGAATGGCTGGATCTACAGTGCGTCCTTCGACCTGAGCGACTTTGGCGCCAAGAACGCAGCCTCTGTCGTGCGCAGTCGCATCTGGCTCAAGGCGTCGACAGAGCCCGTACAGGCGCCGACCGCATTGACCCACCTGCCGCTCTCACCTGTCGAGAGTGTTTGCATGGAAGCGCCGCCCGCTGCTTCAGCGTCTATCGCCGAGGCCCCGCCATTGAAAGAAGCCGATCCAGCGCCCACATCAGCCCCCGTGGCGGTCAAGCAAGGAGGGTACCTCAGCCGGTTCTCGTCGGCAGCTCTCAACGTTTCCAAGTCTGCGGTGGACTTTGCAGCGTCCAAGTCCGTAGGTGCTGTGCTCACGGCCGCCTTGTCCGTGCACGAGGTCTCGGCGTACGCTTACGACACGGCGCATGCAGCTGCAGTCTCGGCCCTGGCCGCTGACACGGCCGCCGCGCCGCCACGACCCAAGGGCCCGTCGGCCGCACGCAGCCCGAACGCCTCTACCCGTCGCTTCCCCGACTTGACACCAATGGAGAAGGCGATGGTGTCGTGTTGCGCCGACTTGGCGGTGCATCCGGTGGCCTCGGCGCCCGAGCCCGTGCTGCGGCCCGACTGCACCCAATGCAAGTCACCCTTTGGCATCAGCAAGTACCGATACCACTGCGGGTACTGCGGCGAGGCGTACTGCCGCGACCACCTGCCAGCAACTGAGCGCCTCCACGCGTTTGGCGGCGCCTCGCCCGTCAAGATCTGCGCCACTTGCGTCGATTTTCTAGCCCAAAAGATTGACGTTCAGCAGCGCAACTGGCGCGTTGAGCGTGTTCGGGTAGCGTCCCCATTCTCTCTCTACTCAGATGACGTCTCTCTAAGCAGTAGCGTTGTAGGACTATCTCGACCGGACGCTGGCGCCGTACGTGAGCGTCTCGACCGACACGGCGCTCGACAAGGCGTTCCGGGCCGCCGAAGGCACGTTGGCCGCCGCCAAGGCTGCGCCACTGGGCGCCACGGCCAAGATGGCGGTTGTCAGTGCCGACTTTCTCCGCAAGTATGGCCGCGCCGGGCTGATCGGCTTTGTGCTCCGGAACGAATTCATGCAGTCGTTCAACACACTCAAGGCGCTGCTTGGGGACATGGAGTCGCTCAGCGTCCAAGACGCGGCCGTCGGACTGTACTACTTTATGGCGACCAACCGCGGGCATCGCGGCGGCCACCCGCTCGACGAGCGCGAGATGCACAATGGCTGCCCGACAGTGCCGGACGCGCTCTTGCACGAGCTCATTCGGTTTGCGCCCATCACGCTCCACGCGATTTACGAGCTCGATATCCTCGACATCCAGCGCTTCGTCAAGCTCCAGGGCTTCACGCTGCTCTTCGCGTCCGTCGAACACCGCACTGCGAATCAGCCAGCGTTCGGCCTCGTCGCGCGCGCCGACGAGAAGCTCGCCGTCCTCCTCGTGCGCGGCTCCAAGTCGGTGCAAGACATCCTCACGGATCTGCAAGTGGCGCCCGGCGACGCCTCCAGTCACGGGCCACTGGACGCGTTCGCCCACCATGGGATGGCGCAAGCGGCGGCGTGGATGAAGGCGCAGACCATCGACGCGCTCCGGGAGCTGCACGGCCGCGGGTACCGGCTCATGGTCAACGGTCACTCGCTGGGTGGTGGCGTCGCGGCGTTGCTGGCCGTCATGCTCCACACGGAATTCCCGGACGTCAAATGCTATGCGTATGCGGTGCCGGCGTGTGCGAACCGCGAGACGGCCGCGGCCTGCGCCCCGTACGTGCACTCGGTCGTTCTCCGCGACGACTTCGTACCGCGCGCCAAGACGCACAACATTGTGCGGCTCTCGACCGAGCTCAAAGCGTTCCGCGATGACTGGAAGAACACGGCGTTGGAGGACTGGACCGCAGTCAAGTCACGCGTCAAGTCGGTCTGGGCACCTCGGAAGCGCGAGTGGGCGACGATGGAAGCCGCGCGCACCCGCGGGACGCTGCTTCCGACGTCAGAGACGCCACTTGTGAACGCAGCTACACCGTCGCGCGAGGCTGCCGTCGACGCGTGGACGCTCACGCGGTCCAACCTTGTCGACAAGTACTCCGAGTCGAACGGCAGCAGCCCCAAAGCGCCCGAGACACCCCAGACAACCGACAAAGAGGGCGACGACGGTCGGGCAATGGAGACCGACAACGCTGTCGAGCTCTTTGTCCCAGGGCAGGTACGACGCATCATTTTGTCTCGCTTTCCCTCCTATCCACCGACTGATTGAGTAGATTGTCCATCTCTACCATACGCACGGCGTCTACGACGCTGCGTTTGTCGACCGCGACTGCGACGCGCTCGGAAAGATTCACATTTTCGAAAACATGCTCAGCGACCACCTCGGCCGCAACTACCTCGCCGCCCTCCGCATCGTGCGCGACGCGCGCAAAGCGTCGAGTCCGCCGCCAGCGTGGGTTTGCTTCGGTACGCACACGCGCTGCATGTGCTGCGAGGCGCCGTTCACATGGAACTCGACGTCGCAGAGCGAAGCGCAGGCGAACCGCGACCAGCACAACTGCCGGAGCTGCGGCTGGCTGGTCTGCGACGGCTGCTCGGAGAAGCGCAAGCCGTTGCCCGAGTACGGCATCAACACCCCGGTTCGCGTCTGTGACAAGTGCTTTTATAAGGCGTAACAACCGAGTGGACTTGGTCTTTTGGTTTTGGCGGGAAACGTTGGTTGCCCGTTGAAACTGGTGCGAGAGACAGACGCGCATGGACGCCGACGCACCCAAGTTGTCCCCGCTGCGACGGCTCTCGGCGTCGGCCAAAGCCACTGCAGAGACGATGGCGACGTCGTCGGCGGCCGCCGCCAAGTCGGCAATGCAGTCCGTCGCCGAGGCCTCGGGCTTCCTCGCAGTGCAGGCCGTGGCGGTGGTCACCGGTCTCTCGGACAATCAGCGCAGCAGAGTGCACCCCATGGCGACAGATGTGCATGTCACCGCCTTTCCCGACCTCCCAGCGGCAATGCGCTGCCTCGTCGCGTCGTGCAACGACAATGACGCAGCGTTCGTCATGACACCGCCGGCGCACGTTCCTAGCGACGTCTGCGGCGTCTGCCACGCGTCGTTTGGCTTGAATCGCTTGTCCTATTACTGTGGTCTCTGCGGCCACGCATACTGCCGCGCCGATCTCCCGACCAAAGCGCATCTGCACCGATTTGGCGCCGGCCTCAAGCGCGCCAAGCTCTGCGCAACCTGCGCCAATGTACACCGGAACCGCTGCGACACCCAAGACCTCGCGTGGCGCGTCGAGCGCATTTCGGTTTACCTTGAGTCCACCATCCTCACGAGCGACTCATGCGCGTAGGACTTGATGGCGGGCAATCTGCGACCGTTCATGGACAAGTCGCACATCGACTCGCGTCGAGACAAAGCCAAGCGCGTCGCCGCAGGTGTCGTGGCAGTGGTCAAAGCGGTGCCCGTCGGCTTGGTAGCGTCGAGCGCCGTCGCGTCGGCCACGTACACTGTCGTGGGCGCCGACTTGATTCGGCGTGTCGGGTGCGCCGGTCTGCTCGGGTACGTTCTCCGGCAGGACTTTGCAGCCACGTTTGCGACACTGCAGTCGGTGCTCGGGACCCTCGAGACGATCTCGTCCAAAGACGCGGCGGGCGCCATTTACTACACCATGGCGGCCAACCGCGGGCGGCGCGGCCGCGAACCGTGTGCCGAGGCAGACGACCACGCCGAGTGTCAGCGCGTCTCGGACGCGGAGCTCACAAACCTCCTGCGCGACGCGCCGTTGGCGCTCCACGCTATCTACGACGAAGACGTGCTGGGTCTGCAACGGGTGGCCAAGCTCCACGGTCTCGCACTCCTCTTCCAATCGATCGAGGCGTCGGCCGTGCACGAACCCGGCTACGCGCTGCTAGCTGACGTGACCGAGAAGCGCGTCCTACTCATCGTGCGCGGGTCGCAGTCGGTGCAGGATCTTCTCACGGACCTCGATCTTGGCACCGTGTCGGCGGCGGCGCCCATGCACCAAGGCATTGCAACGGCGGCAAAATGGCTCTACGACCAAACTGTTGGCGCTTTACGTGCACTCCGGGACGCGGGCTTTGACCAGCTGACCATCAGCGGGCACTCGCTTGGCGGTGGCGTCGCGGCGCTGCTCGCCACCATGGTCATCGACGACTTGCCGTACGCCAAGGCCATTGGCTTTGCCGTCCCCGCGTGCGCGACCCGCGACATTGCCGACAAGTGCAGCAGCTATGTGCAGTCGGTCGTCCTCCGCGACGACATGATTCCTCGTACGACAGTCGGTGCCATCGCGCAGCTCGTTGCCGAGCTCAATGCCGAGCCGTGGCAAGCCGCGGCGACCGAAGATCTCTTGGCGCTCAAAGCGCGGGCCAAAGCTATCTGGGCCCCCCGGCGACGGCACGGGGCGCGTCACGACGGCGACGCCGCAGCACCTCCAGGAGGGTCCGCGATGCCCATGCCAACGATCGAGACCGACAAACTCGGCGATAACAACGAGCTCTTTGTACCTGGGCAGGTGCGACTACGACAGCTCTGTACCTTGCGTCAACGAAGCCTCCTGTTTGTAGATCGTCCATCTCTACCATACGCACGGCGTCTACGACGCTGCGTTTGTCGACCGCGACTGCGACGCGCTCGGAAAGATTCACATTTTCGAAAACATGCTCAGCGACCACCTCGGCCGCAACTACCTCGCCGCCCTCCGCATCGTGCGCGACGCGCGCAAAGCGTCGAGTCCGCCGCCAGCGTGGGTTTGCTTCGGTACGCACACGCGCTGCATGTGCTGCGAGGCGCCGTTCACGTGGAACTCGACGTCGCAGAGCGAAGCGCAGGCGAACCGCGACCAGCACAACTGCCGGAGCTGCGGCTGGCTGGTCTGCGACGGCTGCTCGGAGAAGCGCAAGCCGTTGCCCGAGTACGGCATCAACACCCCGGTGCGCGTCTGTGACAAGTGCTTTTATCACGGCTAATCGAGGTTGCCAATACACTTGTTATTACGGCGTGTCGAGCACGCGGGACGCAAACCAGTCGTAGTTGATATAGGTAAACACGTGACACCAGAGGTCGGACGGCAAGAGACCGCTGCGGCGGCCGCGGCGCGAGAGCAGCAGCGTCCGCGCCACTATCTGGAACGTGGGTGGGAAGTACTTGTGGTACTTGCGGCACCAGCGCCGGTCGGCGTGTTCGAGCTCGTAGTCGAAGCGACCGCTCTCGGCGGCGAGCGACTCGATCTCGTCGACGTCGCAGCGCTGCCACGCGCCGCGCAGCAGTCGCTGGGTCGGCGTGCCGTAGTAGACGTACTCGCTGCCGACGCCCTCGACGACGTACGTAATGTGCCACGAGATCTGATTGCGCGTCCAAGATCCGGCTAGCGCGCATTGCTACAGCAAGGGTTCAACGACCGAACAGAGAGAGACATGGCGACCTGTGGCACAAAGTGTTCCTGGACGTAGCCTTCGACGCGGCCTTCGTCGAGCAGCTGCAGCGTGATGCGAGAAGCGTAGACACGGCCATTGGCGCCGATCGCGCCGCCACGAAAGGTGTAGGTACCCGGCGCGAGCGGATAAAGCGGCGAGATGGCATCGAGCGCCGGTCCATCGCCGTCGACGACGCCAAAGTGGAAGCCACCAGTGCCATGGAGGTTGTTGGTCGCGTTGAACCACTTGCCGCGCAGGCCATGCGTCGTATCGTAGGTGCCCACGAGGCGCAGCACGATGGTGAACTCGGGCGTTGACACGTTGGCCGAGAACTGGACGTACTTGAGGCCGTTGGGCCCGTCGCAGTAGGTCGCCTCCGTGAAGGCCATGTTGCCGAGGCCGATCTCGTCCGGGCACTCGAGCACATGCAGGCCCACGGTGCTGTCGCCGTAGAAGCGGGCGCGCAGCTTCACGGGCAGGCCCACAAGATCGCCGGCGACGAGACCTTCCTCCCACATCGCTTGCGTTCGGATACGATGCCGGTATCCGGATATCTTGCCGCGTTCGCCAACCATTTTCCATCAGCATGCTCCTGCGGAATCTTGGCGCCCGCGTCGCCCGTGCCGGCGCGCTCAAGGTCGCTTCGATGCGCCTGCCGATGACGGCCGCCTGCCTGCCCATGCGCCAGCTGCCGGAGATGGCCATGGCGCTGCCGCTGCGCGCCTTCTCGACGGACGCGCCAAACATGGGCAACCCGCGCGTCTGGGTCGGTGGTCTGCCGTACGCGACCTCCAAGGAAGACCTCGCGTCGCTCTTCGCCGAGTTTGGCACGATCGAGGCCATCGACATGACGTCCCATTTAGATGGCCGACCCAAGGGCACGTGTATCATCACGTTTGCGTCCGGGGCCGAGGCCCATGCCGCGCTGGCCATGGACGGCAAGGTCTGTGGCACGCGCTGGATGCGTGTGCGCCTTTCGGAGGAGCGCGCCGTGACGCCGAGCCCCAAGCCTGAGAACTGCCTCAAGGTCTTCTTCGCCAACGTGCCGTTCAAGACGACCGAGGACAACATCCACGACCTCTTCGAACACTGCGGGCCGATCGCCAAGATCGTGCTCATGCGCGATCCCGCGACGGGTCGCTCCAAGGGCTATGGCTTTATCGACTTTGAAAAAACAGAGAGCACGGACGCGGCCGTCCAGCTCGCGCACAAGTACGTCCAGGGCCGCCTCATGAACGTCAACTACGCGCCGTTTTCAACGCCATTGCGGGAGGAGCCGGCGCGCCACATCAGCACCGTCTTCATCGCCAACCTCCCGACCGACGTCGACGAAGACACGCTCCGGGCCATGTTTGAGCACTGCGGCGACATCCGCACGGTGCGCATGCCAGCGAACGGCACCAAGTCGTTTGCCCACGTCACGTTTGCGTCCGTCGAGAACGCGGCTGAGGCCTTGAAGCTCAGCGGCAGCGAGTTTGACGGCCGCCGCCTGCACGTGTCAATGGCCATCAACAAGGCGCGGCCCGGCAAGCCCCAGCAGTAGTAGTAGACATACCCCACACCCTCCACCCTCACATAGAGCTCCATATTACACTTGCACGATGCTTCGGCTTACTCAACACACCGAAGCACACGCTGGCTACAGTGGTGGCCCCGAGTACAAGGCGGCAGTGGGTCGGTCGCGAGAGGATACGTGGGGCGGGTTGTCGCACGCACTGTCGGCCGGGCGTGGTGCCAAGGCGCCTGCAGCGACGACCCCCACCAGAGGTAGACGCGGCGGACCGGGATACCGCACGTCGTCGTCGACGTCAAGCGATCGCGATGGGCGCTGCGACGATGCGCTAGTTGGTGTTACCGCCGCTCGTAACCGCGGAGGGCTCGGGTACGTGGTGTCGGCGCTTGCGCTTGGCGAGGCGGCGTCGGCACGCGCCTTCAAGGTCGGCGGCGCTGGGTCGGCATCTTCAACAGCTGGACGAGGGACCGCATCCGGCTTGCCCACGACGCATCGACTTGGTGGTGCTGGGTAACAAGACGCATCGCCGTCATCGGCCTCCAGCTGCACACGCGGCGCAGCCTCCAACGTTCTTGTGCCCATGGCCGGTGGCGCCGGGTAGAGCACGTCGTCTGCTTCGACCGGGAGCCCAGGATACCCAGTGGAAGGTGTCGGCAACAGACGCGGTGGGCTTGGGTACAGGCTTCCAGTACTTGGTGACGAGGCGTCGACGCGTGCCATCAAGGTCGGCGGCGCTGGGTAGGCGTCTTCGTCGGAGTTGGCACGTGCCACAAGGGAATTCGTCTGCGGGAGCTCACCTCGCGGGTGCTCGAGGTTGTTCGCTGGGTTCTTGACCAACAGACTCGGTGGCGCAGGGTACAAAGCATCGCCGTCCGCCTCCAACGGCGTGTCAATCGCTGGTTTGGGCGCAACTTGAACGACGGGCGGTGCTGGGTAGGACATGTCGTCTGTAGCTTGTACGACTGGGAGACTCGGTGGCCCTGGGTACGACGCACTGACGGCCGTTGCTGGCGACAGACGCGGTGGACTCGGGTACGTGGCATCGGACGCTTTCGGTGCGACTCGTCGACACGGACCGACTCCGACTACGGGAGGCGCCGGGTAGTCGGTGTTGACGCCCCGCGAATCTTCAGCTTCTTGTGTGTGTGTTGGTGCAAACGCCGGTGCCAAAGCGACGGTGGGCAGCACCGGCGGGGCGGGGTAGGTCCCCGCCGCCCCTGTTGGCTCACTCGCGCCTTCTTCGTTGCTATCGGAGACGGTCAGGTCGGCGGCCACACAGTGCATCGCGGGTACTGCTGCGCGCATTCCTCGTACCGGTCTCGGCGCCACGTCGTCATCGTCATCACTGTCGCTGCTGAGCGTGATCGGGTTGGCATTCGACCCGTCGCCGCTCACCTCTCGTCGCACGGCAAACACGCGCGGGGCCGCCGAGCGCTTCTCGGGCGCCCGGAGCTTTGCATTTCTCATGTCGGCTTCCGCTTGCTCGACGAGCTTGGTGAGGCCGTTGACTATCGTCATCTTGAAGATCGGCGCGGGCGCAGCGGGCGGCACGCGACGGTCGTCGTCGTCGTTGCTCGGAAAGATCGTGGCAACTGCGGCGGCCGTCGTCGCGAGCAGCGGTGGGTCACTTGGGGCGTCGTGGGCGGCCTGCTGCTTGGCTTCGAGCGCTTCGGCCTTGATCTGCTGGTCGGCAAAGTGGCAAAACACCTTTTGCAAGTCGGCCTCGAGCGTCGTGGAGAAGCCCGTCCGGTTCTCAATCTCGCGCGTGAAGCGCTCAAAGTCGGCGTGGTACGGCGCCGTGTGCTCGTCCAGAAACTGGCGCCACCCCTCGACGACCCGAGGACGCGCACTCGCTGCATTGGCCACCGGCTCCTTCTTGACCTCGCGGAGCCCATGCAACATGGCGTGCGTCCGGTCGCGGTCCGTCTCCGAGAGCTCGTCGTCGTCGATGATTTCGCGCTCTTCGCACTCCCAGCAGACAGCCTCTTGGCCATACTCGATCGCACACGCCGTGTGGTACACGCGCTCGCAGCCACCGCAATAGACACCGGGCTTGGTCCCGTCGGCGGGCTTGTCACAGAGGAAGCAGACGCCGTCGACGCGCTTCCTTGTCTTCGTGCTCGTCTTCTTTTTCGGCGAGTCGGTGAACGCCGGGTCCATGTCGCTGTCGTCGTCGTCGGAAGACGACTTGTACAATTCGGTCGAGTAGGCTTCGTACCCGTCGTCGGACTCGTCGTTGGACTCGACGGTGAGGTCAACCACGTCCCACACAGTGGTGCGAATGTCGTCCAAGTCGATTACCATCACCGCGTCGTCGTCCGCCGAGCCGCTGATATCGACGTCGTCTTCGTCGTTGATGAGTTCGCATGTCTGGACAAAGTGGAGCATCTTGTGCGAGCACTCGCCGACGGGCGGTGGCGGCGGCAGCGCCCGTCGAGGCTTGGTCACGGGGCTTGACACGATCGCCGATGTCGAAAGATGTCCAGGCTTCTTGCGCTTCACCGTGACCACGTGCGGCGCGGCGGGAGTTCCCGGCACAACGGGTGCGGGCTTGCCTTCCGCGTCGGCCGCTACAGCACCGGTCGCCGCACTTGCAGGCGTCGGGGACGGCAGCACTGCGCTAGGGGCAGGCGGTGGGCAGGCGTCGTCACGTTGCCGCTTGGCGGGGTTGCCTTCTGTGGCACTTGGCGCGACAAGCAGCGCACGCTTTGCGACGTTCCTTTCTCCATCGGCGAGGGCCGTGCGCGATGCTTTCGGCGCCCCAAAGTCGCTGCTCTTGTACACGACGCTGTCAAAGCATCGGGATAAGAGCGGTCGAGACAGGACTTCGAGCACAGCGGGCGTCCACTCAAAGACTCTTGGCGGCGCCGATCGTTGCTGTGGCTGCGCTGGCGGCGGTGATAATTGCAGTGCTGGTGGCGACGGTACTGGTCGCAGCGATGACGCAGGACGCGGCGAAGGCGCTTCTCGTGCTACTGGCGGGCGGGCTGCTGGTGGGTTGACAACGACGTAGCCGTCGTCGTCGTCGTCGGACGACGAGATGAGGTCGATGACGTTTGCCAGCGGCTTTGCGCTTCTACTGTAGCATACCATGAGCATCGTTGCGGTCGCCGCAAGCCACATACTCGGTCGTTCGTCCTCGCGGGTCCATGCTCGAATTTATGCAAATATTGGCCAATGAGCGTCCAGTTCCGCCAGTTTGCCGTTGGCCAAGGCAAACACACGCAACTCAACTACGAGCTACGGAAGCCGACTAATAATGACTCGAGTTGGTATTACATATTGACTGCTGTGGTGTCTTCTATTTGTTGCGTACGCTTGGCGCGACGGGCTTGCAGCAGCCCGCGGCGGCGCGCACCGGGCGGGAACCCGTCGCTGTCGAGGATCGTCCACGCCTGCATCAGCAGCAACAAATTCGGGTGGCACGCACCAAGAGACGGCGGTGGCGGGAGCGGTGCAGGCGCTGCCGGTGCGTCTTCGGATGCGCCATCTTCACACTTGATGCTGCTCGGCGTCGGTCGGGCAGCATCGTCGTCGCTGTCTTGTCGATGGCGCTTGCGCTTGCCCACCTTGAGTGTCTGTGTTGAGGTTGGTGTAGCCTCAGTGGTCATCTCACTCTTGGGCAAGGGATACTCGGTCGAGTGAACTTTGGTGCGCTCCCCAACGCTGCGGTGGTGCAGTCGGTGGGAGCTCTTCTCTGTCGCCTCGAGCTTGGGCAGCGGATCTCGTCGTAGCGCGGCCTTGGCGGGGGGCGTCGAGAGCCGCGCGAGGCGAGGAGACTGCATATGTAAAGGTGGGTTGGCTGCGAGGAGTGGCGCTGGTACGATCGACTGGCCTGGCTTGCACACGCGGATCGCGGTCGACTTCGGTGTCCCGGCCGCTTTCACGGGCTTGGTAGAAGGTGCTGGTTTTGTGTAGGGTACGTGTCGCCTTTCATGTGCTGGAGACGCAGGTGCAGGCTGCGCACTTGGTGTGGGCGTCGGATCAACAGGCGCTCGAGGTGTGCTTGACGCTGACGGTGCATCGGGCGGTGCGACTGCAACCGACTTGTCGACAATGGCAGGCGCGGTCTCTGGCATTGCGGACGACGTCGTTGTCGCAGCTTGCGCAGGCTTGGCAATCGTCTTTGTCTCGGTCTTGGGTCGCTTTGTATGCGCTGTCGCTGGCGCGTTGGTGATGGGCGATGCGGGCGCATGGCGTTTCGAGGCTGCGCGGGGCTTGGCCTCGGCCTCGGCCTCCGCCGCTGGCTTGGTCGATGCAGCGCAGGGCTTGACTTCGTCCTCGGCGGGCGCAACTGGCTTGGGCGAGGCTGCGCGCGACTTGCCGTTGGCCGGCCGTGGCGCGATGGGCGCATCGTCGTCTTCGTCGTCGGAAGAAGACGACGAGAGGAGGTCGATGACCTCTGGCGGCTTGTTGACGGCGAAGTGGAAGCTGCAGTTGTCGCACCAGATCGTAATGCCCCGCACGATCTTCTGGCACACGATGCAGCGGGGCTTCTTGCGGGCCATCGTCTCCGTCGCCCGAATGCCCAGCGCAGCCAATCCGCCAATCACCGCGCCACTCTTTTCTACCAATCATATGCGCGCAAAGGTTCTGCGACATGTTTTGCCAGCCAATCGGCTGCCGGCAAGCGCCGCCAAACCTTGACAGTGCTCGTCGAGCGCAACACCGACTTCTAACGTCGAGTCTCTCATCGAATGGCCTTGCTGCGTCGCCTGCTGCGCTAACCTTACAGACGCGGCGCCAGTGAAGGCTGCTGCAACACCAACAGGCTCGGCCTGTCTATATGTAGAGGGAATGCGACCGACTGATCCTCCGAACTAGCGGGAGCTCGAGACAGGTACGTCCACAGTGAAGTGCCCACCTCCTCAATAGCTCAACAAAGAAGCACGAAGAATGAAGTATCAGATGCTGACGACAGTTCACGGGAGGGATTTACGCGCTGTCGACGTTGTGGATGAAGCGGCCGAGGATCAGAAGCGCGTCTTGCATATCGGCCAACGAGCAAAACTCGTTGTCACCGTGGTACACGGAGCTCTTGCCAAAGCCCGCGAGCGTCAGGTCCAAGCCCGCGCGCTGGAGGTCGCGGACCAGCGGGAGCGACCCCATGATCGCAAACGGGGTCGACTCGCCCTTGACCTCCTTGGTCGCATTGCTGAACGACTGGAAGCCGATCGAGTCGAGCGCGCACGCAATGCCTTCGATCGAGTGGTCGCCGAGCGTGAGCTCGAGCTTCCCGACCAACTCTTCCTTCGGGAGCGTGTACTTGGAGTGCGGGCCACGGCCCTCGAGCGCCGAAATGTCCTCGTTCATCTC